AGCCCACGGAAAAGAGAGCAAGTGAGATTTAGTTTTGTTCCGCCTCCCAATTTTGATGAAGAGTACCCCGGGGATATCAGAGGGTCTCCCACCCCTCTTCCCCTACCAACAACCTCTCGAGAGGACTTTCAGCTCCCTGCATATTCAGAGTGCCCCTATGCCGCACGGACACTATGCATTTACAAACACCCAATCATTCTCCGGGATTCAAACCACTATAGCGGTTGGGTGGCTCTAAACCTTCTTATTTTATGGAAAGTATAACAGAAAATTTAATATTTCAGGGAAAAAAATTAATGATTTTAAAATTTCATTGCTGTAATATGATGTCTATGTATACTAATGTGATGGCCTCAGCAAAACAATTTAGTCTAATATAAGGTAAACTATATTAAGGGGGCTTATACACCTTAAACCCCTTATGATCTTCGAATATGTGACTGTTTCAAGAATTAAGATATTTTATGTATTTTAAAAGCAATGACTTCCAACCTTTTACAGCTGACTACATAATATAGCTGCTTTGGGAGCTAGTAACCAGAAAGTTTGTGTTGCCACAAATATTTTTGTAATTTAATCCGCTTTGTGACAAAAGATTTCGTCATATTTCCACCTTGCGCGCATGATATTTTAAAAATGGCTAATGGTACGTACTTGAAAGTTGATGGAATTCTTTATATGGGCACTATCTTCTAACTGAAACAAAAATATGATGAATATTTTAATATTAAAAATTTTTATGCTCAAAAACATTACAGATTTTTTAAATAAAATTCATTTTTTAAACTCAACTTCAAATAAAATAAAAATTTAACATGGAATTCTTAGAATTTTTGGTTCACAGTAGTTTCCAAGTATTATAAAAGATACATATTAAATATGGAATAAAATTATGCAAAAGAATGTTTTAAACTGCGCGCGCAAGGTGGGAACATGACGAAAACTTTTGTCACAAAGCGGAATAAATTATAAAAATATTTGTGGCAACACAAACGTTCTGATTACTATTTCAGAAAGCAGCTGTATTACGTAGTCAGCTGTAAAAAGTTGGAAGTAATTGCTTTTAAAATAAATAAGTTATCCCAATTCTTGCAACAGTCACATATTCGAAGATCTTATGGGTTTTAAGGTGTATGAGTCCCCTTAATTTAAACTCATAGGCAGACGAATGGTTTAAGCAACCTGGGAATATGATTTCTCAAAATGGTCATCTCTGAATATTACTATTATTTCTGAGAACGTAAAACAGCATAAATTAATAAAGAAAGTCCTTTTCTCTAATGTGACAAACACCAGTAACATATGTAAAATTATTTAACACTATAAATGCAAAGTACGGTTTATAACTGTCTTCAAACGGTTTTATAACCATCTGAAGCAAGTTTTACGCTCTCCTGTACAACTGTTTTAAAAGTTAAGTGTTTTTGAAACTTGCAATACAATAACCAGTTTGAAAACTATTATGTCTAACAAATCTGAACTGTAAAAATATATCTATATTTTTCTTTAAATAGAATGAGGAAATGAATTTATCTTAAGGAACTTTTATCGAGTGCTTTGTGTAATTCTCATTTAATTCTTTCTCAGAAATATACACGCTAACATGATAATGAAGCTATAATAAAAATATTTTACGCTAAGAATATCGGGTAAAAAGCAAACATTACTCAATCATTTTGAATTAAGAGAATGTTCTTTGTTACATCCATGAAATTTTTAATACGCCGCATAAATTATTTTATACTTCCATGGCAGCAGTCACTGAAGAGTACCTTTTTATCTGAGTTACTTTTAGTTTGCCTTTAATGTAACAGCTGATTAGTGGACAATCTTAAAAGCATGTGCCATTAAAACAAGAAAAATGAGCAAATGGGAGACCACTTATTGGTTTTTATACACCAATACTTTCATCACTTTTCAGATAAAAGTAGCTGTAGAAAGCAATTATTTGTTGTGATTTTCAGCACTTACGCCCGCGTAAATCTACGCAGGAAAAACACTAATTGGTTAAAGCGTCTGATACTTTAAAGCTGCCATCTTTTATTTTTAGTTTATGCTTGATATTTATCGCGTAAAGCCGTAATACAACTAAAAAAGTGATTTGTGAAAAAAAGTAATCCGCTTATGATAATAGCGTTATTTTTAAGATAAGAATATGTTATTTTTCTTATGTTATTATAAGGTATTATAGCGCGAAGAAATGACCTGAAGAATTTTTATTTTAATTATATTTTTACAATTAAGAGTTGAAAAAATTAATTTCAATTGATGCATAAAACTCGACGAAGTCATTGCAACTTAGTCCTTCAAAGATAAGTAAACTCGCAAATTGTTTATTGCAGAAGTATTGTGAATAATTCTCAAAATACACATTTTAAAATTAGCAAAGGTCTGGTTGTTGGAAAAAAAAAAAAAGCATTTTAAAGCTGTTGAAACACTATTTTATGTGCTAAATAACTAGTAAATAAAAATAACAATAAGCACATTTCTAGTGAAAGAAAAAAACATGAAACATCAGTATATTCATAAGTCGTTAATTCGGTACTTTTCCGTTTTGCCGGCGCAAGCGATAAAGTCGCCAATAATGGTACAACCCATGCCAAACGAAATATTCTCACTGGTAACCTTTTACGCCTCATTTTTAAAACAAGTCGCAGCTTTTACTTATCAGATTGATTGTTTCTTTCAATACTGGCATATCATTACATATAATTTTTATCAGATAGTTCGGTTTTATGTTTAAGGCAATTTTCGGTAATTAAGTTAATTAGGATGCAATCACAGCACTTACCCGAAGCCGAAAAATATAGAAAAGGTAAAGTCAAGGGTTAAATTCATCAATTCTAATGAGAATGCATTAGCGAAGTAAAGCATTGCAGTTTTACATAATTCTGAGTAAGCTATTCGTACGAATTGAAATATTCTTGCATTTAAACTTGTGTTCCAAATTAAGATTTAACTTGAAATTAATGTGGATAATTACTAAGAGCATTAGATTTTTGTAGAGTAGTTTACGTGAGATGAGATCGCTTGGGGTCACGTGATATGAACCGGCGAATCAGGATGTTGAACCATGAAAGCATAGTAAATTCTTAATGTCTTTTTACAAATTTGTTGTCTTTATTTATTGGCTTTTTATAAAATTTTAAGCGATATTAAAATGTTTATGCCTTCTTTTTTAAAAAGAATTCTTAGAACTAACATTTTTTTAATATTTTTTACGTGTATACTGTATGTTGTCGCCAATAAAGTCTGCTTGGCGAGATTTGCGCCGGCGAAACGGAAAAGTACCGTTAATTCTTTTACGACGTTAATTTTTTTAAGTTCTTAACTATTATGCTCACTCGTATTGAATTTTAATCATAGCCTATTATAGTAGATCTATTCAAGTACTAGTAGACGCCTCTAGGGCTTGACCCTAGACACATTAGCAATAACGCTTCTGCTAAAACTACTCACGTTTGGCACTTCGAAGTTTAAATGCTTATGGAAAGATTTAAGGAAGATACTGAGATAAAGGTAAGCATTTGTATACTTCCTGTAAAAGTGGGTTTTCGGCATCTTATAAAGCACATCTGTCATTCATCGTCTGGTCGCTATTTTACCATGTGAATTACCTTCAGTAAAGACATTGTGAGGAATTAGGAGAAACATAACTACTAAGCCTTTTTAAGTTTCTTTAAATAACGTAGCATCAGTATTTCAATAATTTTATAGCTAGAGATAAAAATAATTTTGCTATGCAACGTTGCCATTGCTCGCTTTGAAATCCTTGAGATTGTTAAGCAAAAATTCGTAAAAGGTTTACAAAATAGGAAATCGTTAATAAAACAAATTCCAAATTTCAAATTTGGTCTTCCACATGCCCATATTCGTAGGAGGATTACGTCATTCAAAATTCGATGGCTCTATGTACCGTTGTTTTATCAAAATGCGAGAAATATACATACATTTATGTAGATTTTTCATTATTTAATTTCTTTAAATATAACACAGGGCGATAATACTTTGTGGCAACAGTTTGAAAAGTGATTCGCCGTTTGTAGTGAATCGACGCAAAATTGCAAAATGAAAACAATAGTCCTTCAGCCCCTTTGGACTATTAATAACTAAATTATAGACTTTTTAGGCCCACCAGCGACCAAACGGTAAAAGCTGCTGAACACCGGTAGTTCGCTCCAGGGTTCGGATCCTTGTGACTGGTTGGCTGCATGAGCATTTTCGTGGTTTTCCCCATGTGTTTGAGCCAGTTTCCCTTAGAAAAGCCCACCAGCGGCCGAGCGGTAAAGTCGCTGAACACTGGTAGTTCGGTCCGAGGTTCGAATCCCTCGAACGGGGCTGGCTGCACGGGCGTTTTCGTGGTTTTCCTCATGTATAACGTGTATACGAGCCAGTTTCCCTTAGAAAGTCCTCCACGAAGGCATCCCTCCTCTTAGGCAGATAGCCCTCGAGGCTTTGCCATAATTACACACACACACACAAACACACCCTTAAAAAGTCACCACGAATGCATCACTTCCCTTAGGAAGATAGCTTTCGAGTGCTATGCCTTAATCAGATAAACCATAGACGTTTTTAACTCCAAAAAATTTAAGTTTTTAGTTTTTCATCTTTACGAATAAAAACTAATTTACATAATACTGCATGCTTATTGAAATTATGGTTTCTGATGAGTATTTAGTACGGAATTCATTTTTTGCATTCAAGAATCCTGCTTATTAATTTTAACAAGGAAAAATAAAATAAAATAATATTCAAAATATAAAATTAAAAAAAAATTTCTTTATCTTTGAGATCAAACTATACATTCATAAGAAAAACATTTCTGTTTATTTCTTATTAAAATTCGATATAAGAGGGTTTTCGATTTTTTACTTTTCAGTATTGAATTCTTATTTTATGTAAGACTGTTGAGTTTATTTTACCATCTTCAAAAACCAATTCGTATTATTTTATAATGGAGGCTTTCTTTTCTTAAAACACACTTTCTGTCTTTGCAGGGATGAATATCTCTTTCCAAAAGAAGAGAAGAACGTGCCATCTCTTTCCAACAAGTCTCTTTCTGATTCGGAACCAGAAATGGCAGATTATCAACTTGAATGGATTGAACACGGAATCTGAGTCGAAGACTGAATGGAGAAAGAATCTCTCTTAATGAGTGCCGGAACGAATAAACATATCAAAAGGGAAATGAAAAATCAAATTTCAACCGCAATTCTTTAAAATTTCAAAAACTCTTATCGTCTTGGAGAAGGCTGTGTACTAACAGAAAGGGAAAAGCTGCTATAAGACTTTCAGCATTTCAAAGAGCCTAAATATAATGCATTTACAAGCAAGCATATTTAAATTAATATCCCTATATTTCAAAAATACTTTCAAAGACCGTACATTCATAACTTTAACGATATATTAATAGAAGTATATAAATATTAATAAATATGAATGCCAGACGTTATTTGTAAAATTGAAATAGTGCTTATGACGCAACTTGCGCAGTTTATGGAGAATGAAAATCTTTTAAGCAAATTATTTTGCATTAATTAAACAAAAAACTCTATTTTCATAAAAATGGAGTTTAGAAATATTTGAATTTTATTCTCATTGAAGTTTAACATAGATAGATTTCATGCAACGAAAAATATTTCCTTGCCTAACATAAATGACACTTCCTACGCAGTGACTTATCTAATATAACTTTTTATGCACTATATATGTTAATCACTGCATTTTTATTTCCTTTTTTTCTACGCAATGGGCCGACCAGCGGTACAGCAGACGTCGCTGAACACTGGTAATTCGACCTGGGATAGAATCCCGGCGAAAAGGCTTGCTGCATGTTTGATTTCTGTGGTTTTTCATGTGAATACGAGCCAGTTTCCCTTAAAAATTCCTCCACGAAGGCATCCCTTCCCATAAGCAGATAGCCCTCGAGTTACTTTGCCTTAATCAATTAACCTAACCTAACCATTACTACACAGTGGCATATTTAATATAATCTTTTATGTATTATATATGCTGATCACTAAAATAAAAATAAGATAAAATAAAAATGCAGTGACCAGCATTTAAGATGACTGGAAATTAATTTATGTGAATAAATATAAGTGATTATAAACGATATTTCGTCATTATAGAACTATAAAGAAATGGGAAACTATTATGTAGATGAAAACTGTTATGTAGAACTTTTATGAAGCAATTCAGTTATTTTTAATATCACACAGAGGTTGATTCATGAGAGTTTTGGCATTAATAATTAAAAATGACCACTGCTTTAGGTCAAAGCAATGAACTAAAAAATCATTGTGACATGAATTATGAAAAAATCAAATTCAAACGAAAACTGAGTTTTTGCTGAGAAGCGTAAAAAAAATTCCTAATTAATGTAATTTTTATTATCTAGATCAGAGTTTCTTAAACTGTGGGTTGTGACCCCCATGGGGTCACGGGACCTGCAGCAGGGGATCGCCAAAAATTTTAGCAGTTTTGATATTTCTTTAATTTATTATAATAATTTAATTACCAAATATTTTACACAATGTATCTGGAAATAGATGATAAGACAATACATTTAAAACGTTTCGGTGCAATTTTTTTATAACATAAAAATTCGTTTTACTTGCTACGTGTCGCTGTCATGTCGTTTAAAATTTTCACGTTGTTCTATGTCTTAAAATTAAAAATTTATGACCTGAAACTGGAACAGTATATTACAGTACAAGTGAAAAAATTGACAGTTTTACTAACGCTTTTGTCGGATTTGAGCAGGGTTCCACGAAATTTTCGTAAATATTATGGGATCCTGGAGTCACAAAAAAATCTCAGTGATAAAAAGTGGTCGCGACTGAAAAAAGTTTAAGAAGCCCTGATCTAGTTAAGGGGGCTCATACACCTTAAACCCCTCATGATCTTCGAATATGTGACTGTTGCAAGAATTGGGATATTTTATTTATTTTAAAAGCAATTACTTCCAACCTTTTACAGCTGACTACATAATATAGCTGCTTTGGAAACTAGTAACCAGAAAGTTTGTGTTGCTACAAATATTTTTGTAATTTAATCCACTTTGTGACAAAATATTTCGCCATGTTTCCACCTTGCGCGCATGATATTTTAAAAATGGCTAATGGTACATACTTGAAATTGGATGGAATTATTTATATGGGCACTATTTTCTAACTGAACCAAAAAATACGATAAATATTTTTATATTAAAAAATTTTATGGACGAAAACATTACAAATTTTTTTAAATAAAATACATTTTATAAACTCAACTCCAAATAAAATAAAAACTTAACATGAAATTTTTTGAATTTTAGGTTCACAGTAGTTTCCAAATATTTTAAAAGCTATATATTAAATATGGAATTAAATTATGCAACAGAATATTTAAAACTGTGCGCACAAGATGGGAACATGACGAAAAATGTTGTCACAAAGCGGATTAAATTGTAAAAATATTTGTGGCAACACAAAATTTCTGATAACTAGTTCAGAAAGCAGCTATATTATGTAGTCAGCTGTAAAAAGGTGAAAGTAATTGCTTTTAAAATAAATAAGTTATCCCAATTCTTGAAACAGTCACCTATTCGAAGATCGTATGGGTTTTAAGGTGTATGAATACCCTTAAACAAAAAAAGGCTTTTTTTAAAATTATTATTTATTTAGTTGAGAAAAGTTTAAGCTTTATCATTAGGATAAAAATACCGATAAAAATAAATAAGGAAAAAAAGGTCTTAAAAGTTTAGCCTTGTGAAATCAATACTGCGGAAATTATTCTGTTTGAATTTTTTTTAACAGATCTCCTAACAATAAAGATAAATAACGTGTAGCTAAAAATAAATGAAGAAATAAATGATGGCTCTTTTCCTTGATTGATAGTGCAACCCCAAGAAATTCTTTTTATTTACGACGCTGCTTCTGTACAAAGGAGTCTTTTGGCTTAAGTGTCAAATTCATGGAAAAGATAAAAATAATGGACCATTTGGCTGTTACACAGCTTCTGCGATACGCGATCGTAAATACCCAGAATATGTATCTGTTCTGAGAAGTTGCGTAAGCGAATGGTGAAATAAATGGGTGCTGTACCATCGTGAAATACTTTATGTCAATGCATTTTGGGAAACGAACGACGCGCGTGTGCTTAGTGATATTTCAGATCTGTGATGAATTAGGGGATGAGCATTTTCTTCTCAGCTTCGATGTATACTACTAATGCCATAGTCTTTATTGGATGGGTAAACGAACGACGCGCGTGTGCTTAGTGATATTTCAGATCTGTGATGAATTAGGGGATGAGCATTTTCTTCTCAGCTTCGATGTATACTACTAATGCCATAGTCTTTATTGGATGGGTTGGATGGGTGATACTTATATCTGATATGTTCTGTACTTAAATTTACTTCAGTGTAAATTCAGTTGTATTTAGCTTACCGATACGATCTAATAGGTGGAAATTTAAACGTTTTGATATTTGCCAGCACCAGATTAGGTGGTGACTTTAGAGGGCTCACAAAATCAGCCTGTAATTTCCATATTCCTGTTATTCTCTCTCTCAGAAAGAGAAAAGTGTGAAAGTTTTCAGATTTTATATTACTCCCAAAGGGGTGTTTTTTAACGCTTTGTGTGTTACCTTTAATTTATTAAATATCATATTCTTCGCACTTAAACCGTAAAATTCAATTCAACAGCAACATCAGAAAATATTTAAAAGAGCATACGTTTAGAATTTCCGATACACAGTCTCGCGCGCTGGAGATAATTTTTTTTTCTTTCCGTATTGCTCGCTTTGAAATCGTTGAGTTTCTTAATCAAAAACTCATAAATGCCTAACAAAATATGAAATGGATAATAAAACAAATTCCAAATTAAAACCTTTGGCTTCCAGATGTCCATATTCGGGTGGAGACGCACGTTATTCAACATTTAATGGCTCTAGGTACCGTTGTTTTATCACAATGCGAGAAACATGCAGATTCTTCATTATTTAAGTACTTTAAATATAATACAGAGCTCTAATATTTGGTGGCAACAATTTAAAAAGTGATTCGCCATTTGTAGCGAATCAACGTAAAATGCCAAAACGAAATTAATAGCCCTCTGACCTAAAACAGGTCTGAAAGCTGTAGGATTTTATATTACACCCAAAAGGGCATTTTCAATGTGCGTTACCTTTACTGATTAAATATCATGTTCTTCGCGCTTAAAACACATAAAATTCAATTCAACAGCAATATCACAAAATATTTAAAAACAGCATATCTTTAGAATTTCCGATACACAGTCTAGCGCGCTGGAGATAAAAAAGGTGTTTTTTTTTTCCGTACAGTGTTGTCATTGCTCGCTTTGAAATCGTTGAGTTTTTTTATTCAAAATTTCGTTAAAAGTTTATAAAATTTTAAATAGATAATAAAAATTTCAAAGTTCGGGCTTCCAAGTGCCCATGTTCAGTTTGGAGGACTACGTTATTCAAAATTTGATGGCTCTAGGTACTGTTGTTTTTTCACAACGCTAGAAACATTCATGCAGATTCTTCATTATTTCGTTTTTAGTTTCTTTAAATATGGCGATAATTGGCGGCAACAGTTTGAAAAGTGAATCGACACAAAATGTCGCTTTGAAATTAATAGCAGTTCTTGGCTAACGCCCTTTGAACTAAGAAAAGAAAAAACTAGACAAATAGGCGAGAAAAATTTTTGCCTAGGTTACCAGACTGCATATTCGGGTGTAGGATTTTCGTCGTCGCCGTTTCTCCGCGGACGTTTGGCCGCTGCCGTTTTGCTGATAGGACTTTCCGCTGACAGCTGATTCGCCGTGGGCATGTAAGAGTAGAAGTCAAAATTATGATGTTACTTGAAAGAGTATAAATGATTTTTAATATCCTGTTTAATATTTAAATTTATACTCAATTAATGAGCAAAGTACACAGCTAAAATACGCGTTTTAATGCACTTACTAAAATATAAATATTTTCCTTAGATACTTTTATTTAAGGCAAATAATAAATTTTCCTAATGTTATCTCCAGGTTTACAGCAGAGTATACTGTAAAAATAAAAACCAACATTTTGTCGCATTTAGTGAGAATAAATTAAATACATGTATAGATAACACTTATTTTCATAAAGTGTAAATTTACAAATGTTGCAAATACGTTTGACATTATTAACATCACAGATTTTATCTATAAATGTATCTTAATACAAATCATAGAAGCATTTATAAATATATCTTAGTACAAATTATAGAAGCATTCAATTGCAAATTTTAAAGATATTGCTAAAGGCTCTGGCAAGTTTCCAGATTTTTATCTACATGAACATTTGAAGAAAATTTGATTTGTGTATCACGATTTTATGTCTTTAAAATGATTCACCTTGTTTTTTTTTTTTATATTTTTTTCACTGACCAATTTGGTTTAATCTAGATCAGAAAAGATTGAAAACCATGTGATGTCTATTTTTATGATCTCATTATTTGTAAATATTTATTTTATAAATGATTTTTGTGGACCAATGAGCAGATGTTTACACTGCTATGAAAATCTCATTTGCAATAAAATTACACTGACGGATAACTAACCTGGATTT